GATATGCAGTTGATTCTTTTTTGTGTCTCCTGAGTCTGACACCCTGGGATAGATGTCTTTCATCAGCAGCAGCATTGCTACCATATATTGAGGGCTTACTATATGCTAGGCATTAGTTCATCTAATCCTGACAACAACCCCATGATGTAGGTTCTTTTTTTTTTTAAGATTTTATTTACCTATTTGAGAGAGAGAGGGTAGGTGAGGGAGGGTTAAGAATCTCAAGCAGACTCTACCCTAAGTGCAGAGCCCAACGTGGGGCTCGATCTCATGACCCTGAGATCATGACCTGAGCCAAAACCAAGAGTCAGACACAAACGACTGAGCCACCAGGTGCCCCCATGACATAGGTTCTGCTAGTATCCTCATTTTACAAGGAACTGGGGCTCAGGGGGGTGGCGCAAGAGCCACACAGATTTAACCATTTGAGAGCAACATAGAATGTAGCATTTTGTCCTTTTGCCAATGCCTTTCCTTCTATCGATAATAGTAAAAGTAAATAACCTACCCACTGAGGTCTGACTCCTTTACAGTCCCAGAGTTAAGTGTTTTATGTATATCATTTCATTTAATCTTCATATAAACGTATGAAGTAAGTATTACTATACTTCTGAGAAAAGAGAGTAACTTGGCCAAGGTCACAGCTAGTAAGTTACAGAGCCAGGATTCAGCTTAAGAATGTATGGCTCCAAGATCTGATACTGCTGAGCATCAGAGACCTCTTTCAATTTCTGGTTCCTCCACAAACCAACCATGTGCCTTGGCAAGTCATTTAACTTCTCTGGGCCTCGTTTTCTGCATCTGTAAAATGGGTAGGTTGGGCTCAATGATATGTGAGGGTCAGCCCCCCTCTAGCTCTGATATCTAGACTTTAAAGCCCTTGAGGGACATCACCTCTGTATTCCTAGCACTCAGAAAAGGGGCTGGCTGGGAGTGGGTACCAAGCTGACATATGTTGAGCCAAGTCTATCCTGATGGGGACCTGGCTCCTCTGTCTGCATAAACTTGCCATTTCTCTACATTTCGTAGCCTCCCCCTACCTCTTGTGGTCCAAAGATGCCAGAAATTATCCGTTTTGGTTGTTTTCCATTTTTCCTATTTAAAAAATGCTTCTATATGTCTCTTAATGGACTAAAGTTTCTCTTGAGTATAGATCTGGATGGGGAATTTTTGGATCATGGGGCATACACAAACAAATCACTCTCAAAAATTGTAGGAATTTACATTCCCACCAACTGTGAGAGCTACCTTTTCTCTGTATCCTTTCCAAACTTTGAGTTTGTCAGATTTAAAAAATTTTGTTGATTGGTTGAGTGTGAAATGTTATAAATATATTTTAACTTTTCATAGCAGAATTTTTCAAGTATTTACAAAATAACAGAGGAATAGGGTAATGAATTTCTATCTACCTGCTACCCACCATCCAACCCCTTTCCAATTTTGTTTCCTTTAGATTTCACCACCCAGGGGCGCCTGGGTGGCTCAGTCGTTAAGCACCTGCCTTCGGCTCAGGTCATGATCCCAGCGTCCTGGGATCGAGCCCCGCATCAGGCTCCCTGCTCCGTGGGAAGCCTGCTTCCCTTCTCCCACTCCCCCTGCTTGTGTTCCTGCTCTCGCTATCTCTCTCTGTCAAATAAGTAAATAAAATCTTAAAAAAAAAAAAAGATTTCACCACCCATTCTTTTTAACCAAATCCAAGTAATCATTCCATTTCATCTCTAAATGTTTCAGCAAATATCTCTAAAAGATAAGGACTCCCCCCTTTAATTTTTTTTAATTTCTTTTTTAAAGATTTTATTTTATCTATTTGACAGAGAGAGACACAGCGAGAGAGGGAACACAAGCAGGGGGAGTGGGAGAGGGAGAAGCAGACTCCCCGTTGAGCAGGGAGCCCCATGTGGGGCTCAATCCCAGGACGCTGAGATCATGACCTGAGCCGAAGGCAGACGCTTAACGACTGAGCCACCCACGCGCCCCAGGACTCCCCCTTTTAAGCATAACCACAGTGTATCATCAAACATCTCCAAATGTCAACACTAATTCCTCTATATTATCAAATATTCAGGTCAGTGTCCACATTTATCCAATCATCCCATATTTTTAAAAATAATTGCTTGAATTAAGAGTCAAAGTCCATACAATGTGATTGGCTGTTTCTTTTAATCTAGAGGTACCCCTCTCTCTCTCAATTTTTAATATCTTGACATTCATTTGTTAAAGAAATCGGGTTGATTTTCCTGTTAGGCTTTCCCCTAGTTTGGCTTTTGCGTATTGTGTCCCCATGGTGTCATTTCATGTATTCCTCAGTCCCTGTATTTCCTATAAACCAGTAGTAGGGCTAAGAACAGGGGTTGGCAAACTATGGTCCATGGGCCAAATCTAGCAACTACCCTTTTTTGGAAACAGGATTTTGTTGGAACACAGCTCCTCCTATTTGTTTAGCTATTGTCCACAGCTGCATTTTGTGCTCCAACAGCAAAGTAGTTGCCACAGAGACCAAACACTGTAGCCCGTAACGGTTAAATTACCTGGCCCACTGGAGACAAAGTTGGCCAACACCTACTCCAAAGGCTTGATCAGACCCCTGCTTGATTCTTGGGGCATGATTTCTTCATAGGAGGTGGTGGCTAATTCCACCAAGAGGCCCATTACATCTACTTGTTTCTCTTTTTGTAGGATTATCAGATCAACTAATTCATAAGGAGTTGCAAAATGGTGATATTCTGAGTTAATCCTTCTTCATTCCTGTTTCATTTAATTTGTTGGAATGCTTACATAAAAAGCACCTTCCTCTCATCTACTCTTTGTTGCCTGAGGCACAGTTCTTACAGGAAAGACAGAATAAATACTTAATTGTCTCCCTTTATTTACCAGGTTTCAAAATGCAGTGAGTTGATTTCCTAATATCTTTCAGAGATGATCACTGAGGTTTCTTGTTTATTTTTTAAATATCATTATGAACTCATGGATTGAAATATATTCAATGTTTTCTACTCATTGCAGTTCTTTTCTTTACCAGTGCTGAAATTGTCTGGACTTTGGCAAATGGGAGTCTCTTCTGGTTGTCTCCCAAGTCCCTTTGCCACAACTCTAGTTTCCTTGATTTGTGGCATTAAAAGTCTATGTATGTGTTGTATATTTTCTGCCCCAAAGCTGGAATCAGCTATTTGGTTTTTTGAGGAGCCTGGGTTCCTTTACAGAAAATCGTATTTAGAGACCACAATCTGGCACTAAAGGTGCTCACTCAAGTGTTGGTTGTTGTTTCTAGACCTGACAACAATAGGGAACCTGGTGCTTGTTTTCAGATTGGCTACATCAAAAATTCACACTGGGACTTCTGATCGAAATCCAGGATTGTAAAATTTTTACTTAACTCCTTTTGTCTTTCATTTGTCTCTCCTTTCTCTCACACCAAAAGTCCTGGTTCTCAACACCACCAACAGGAAACTCACTTGCTTTACCGCACGCTACCCATCCAACAGTTTCAGAATAACAATCCCAGTGTTCCCACCAACAATAGGATGGCTGAGAACAGGCAGCCCTTTTTAAAAATCAGAGTAAAAAATTCTGAAAATAAAAATGGAAAGGAATTGAACAGGAAGGGTCTGTGCTGACCCCGTGTCACCATATGGCAGTTTGCATTGCTGCTGTGATTTTTAGTCCTATGTTGTTGGTCAGGATTTGATTCCTCAATGTAGGAAACTCCTGAAATCATAGCCCTTGCCCTTTGGGAATTTACACATGTCTACAGAGTGGAAGAAACATGAGGTAAAAGCAGTGTAGGCTCGTGGAATGATTGTTTTATTGGTAACTCAAGTGTGCTGATGAACTCCAGACTTCAGTTTCCCTCCATAATGAATGAGTCTCCAAGTACACCTGCCTCAGGGCCTTTGCACTTGCCGTTCCCAGTGCCTGGAACACTCTTGCTCCAGCTCTTTTAATGACTGGTACCTTGTTATTATTCAAGTCTCAGCTTCAATATCACCTCTTCAGAGAGGGCCTCACTGACTACATAATCTAAAATAGCCCCCCCATTACTTTATCATATCAGCCTATTTTATTTCTTCATGGTACTTTAACCTACCTAACCTGTTTACCTGTTTATGTCGATCTGTCCTCTCTCTAGCATGCAAACTCAATAAGGTCCTTGACTTTCCTGTTCACCGATGTAGCCCTAGGACTTAAAACAAGTATGGCACATAATAATTGCCGAAGAACAATGCCTGCAGAATGAAGGGATGCCTGCTACATGAATGGATGAGCTAGATAATCCCCCAAGTCCTTTTTAGCTCTACGTCTATGATACACTCAATAAATTGAGTGGAGACTCACATACAAGCATGACTGCACCATCTTACAGATGTGGAAACTGAGGCAGTGAGTGGCTTGCCAGAGGCCTCACCGAGAGGGAGGTGGTGTGGTCCAGGAGGAGCGTATGGAAAGTCAAAAGCAGGAGACTCAGGTTTGGGTCCTCACACCCTCCTACTCCATCAGCCTTCCTTCCAAGAGCTGCGTGAGCTGGACAAGCCATTTCGTATCTCCAAGGACAGTTTCTCCATCGACAGAGAAGACATACAAATAACTCTGGTCTAGGGTTACTGTGAGATAGTGAAGCTTTGAGAACTGAATGGCACTAGGCACTTTGCAGAATGTTTGCCCTTTCTTTACCTCCAGCTGGTCCTGTGGTTGGGGTGGGGATGAGGAAGGAAGCCCAGGGAGGAAGGGCTGTCTGTGGAGGAAGGGAGAGCCAGCTGGTTGCCACGGTTTGTTTTCTCACTTGAGTCCCCAGCCCTCCCCTAGCCTTGCTTCTCTCACCTGCTCAGGTAAAGAGGTAGGGGGAGCCTTGCTCAGCCAATGAACTGCAGTCATTCTCTTAAAGGCACCCAGCCCCTAGCGGGAAAACCAGCCATACCACCCGGAGAGCTCCCCGGTGGGGGCCAGAGGCAGCTTGTAATTCAGCCCTCCGTGGCCACCGCGGGACCCCAGGACCTGGTCATCTGATGTCCTGGAGGGTGATTTCTTCAGAGAGGCCTCCTTCACCTTGCCCAGAGCTGGCTTTCCAGGAGGCTCCCATGCCTTGCTGCCCTGGCAGAGGGAGGAAAGACAGCGTGGCTTTGGCAACTGCCCACCAGGAAGAAGCCCACAGGTGTGAAGGAGAAGCCATTTCCCTGTCCTGACCCCCTGCAGCAACTCTGGTGAGTCCTGACAATCTGGGCTTCTTGAACCTCAGCCCAGCAGGGTCTGGTGGGAAGATGCTTCTCCAGAAGGGCAGAAACCTTGGGTACTGGTTCCAGCCCTGCTGTGTGACCTTGAGCGAGTCACTCCAGCTTTCTGAGCCTCAGGTTCTCCATCTGGGAAAATGAGGAGCTCCAATTTTCATGTCAGCGTTCTCCTTTTCTTATTTTCCCCTGTCACACCACTTGTTTTGAAAGACTTTTGTCTGCCAAGCTGTACCTGTTACATAATATCATTAATTGTTATTCCCCGTCTTTGTTAATTGGGACCCTATACTAGCCAATCAGTGTTTCCTGGTCAGCAGGAACAAACCGCGGTGATACCATTGAGCTGATACAAGTTAAACCAAAAGCAAAGAAATGTGGTGTTTTAGTCTGCCTGTGTGAGCTTATCTAGAGTCAATATTGGCTTTTCATTTGGCCTTTTGAAATATGAGAAATAGGGCAATTTTCAGAGAATGGGGATCCTAAGTGGGAGCCCCTAGATCTAGCTTGCATGGTTTATAAGGGCACCAGGCAGAAATACTGCCTTCACACCCCAACCCGGCTTTGGTCTCTATAATACATGGGATGTATTCTTGAAAGTGGGATCCTGTGGCCTGAAAATTTCCTATTTGGGGCCAGACTGCTCCTAGGAGACCCCACACTGGGTTCATACCCCTCTACCTGAGGTTGGACAACCCTGGATGGGAGAGCTGAGGTGTCCTTCAGTCCTCTGCTAGGGGTCGGCCAGTGGGGTGATGTAAACAGGTAGGTGTGAGCACAGTATCTGGAGTCCAGGAGCTTATGGTGGACCCAACTTGTGCTGAGAATCAGGACACAGGGCTAATCTGCATTGACTGGCTTTGTAACCTCAGGCAAGTTGCCTAACCTCTTTGAACCTCAGTTTTCCCAGCTGTAAAATGGGGATTGTAATCTTGGCAATGCTTGCCTACCAGGATTATTCTTGGGGCCAAATAAAATTGTGTATATCCTGGAAGCTCAGAGCCCACAGATTTTAAAATGCTTCCCAAATTCAAAGCTTGAAAACAAAAAACCCACAGACATGCATTTTAAAATTGACAAAATAGAGTAATGGATGTTTTATAAAATGTGACCTCCACTATAAAGAATTATTCCAATTATGATGGGTTTGTTGTTGCTTGTTAAGTTCTTTTACTTTTTTACAATACCATTTATTGGGACTTTTTTGAAATACAGACTCGTATAAACACAAAGCAGGGGCAAACAGCTCACTGAGTCATGGTATTGACTCCTGGAACTGAACCCCAGGCCGGGAATGTGGCCCTAATGCACGAGGTGGTGTAATATGTGGTTGGAACATGCACTTTGGAGTCAATCTCGAGTTCAAATACAGACTTTAAGACCTACTGGTGACCTTGGGTGTAAGTCATTTTTCCTGCCTCAGTGTCTTCTAAATTCTAAATTGAGGTAGAAGTAGAGGAATATCAAAAGTGTTGGCTGGCTAAGTGGTAGTGGTATTGTTGTTAAGTTGTGGTTCAGCTTAGGACAAGGACTCAGAACCCACATACTTGTTCCATTAGAGAGTCCCAGATCGGGAGGGCTCCTGATCCTTAAAGTGGACTGGGTAAACTGATTCAGAGCAAGACATTTGAGTCTGTCTCCCCATCCATGAAATGGAGCCCCTCACAGCCCTTCCATCACCTGGGGGTGGCAGGAGACTCCTGGAGACATTGGATGAACAGGTCTTTGGAACCAGTCCATTCCCCTGAGTCCAGGGGGCTCTTGTCACTTTTTGCTCCAGGGGCCCGGATAAGGTACCAAGGTCCTTCTATTCAGTCATCTGAGCTTCTTTGCCCTGTCCCTTCTCCCACAGCTCCCTGCTGAGCAAATCAGTCTCAGGGAATGCTGGTTCAGGGTCTTGATGGTACCTCCCTTCCCAGTGAGGCTGCAGGAGAATGAGTGGAGTGAGAGCTAGAATAGAAGTTTCCCAGGAACGGGAAAGGCAGCCCCTCTTGCCCAGGCTCTGGGCAGATGGTGTGTGAGAGCACGTATGTGCGTGTTAGTGCACATGAGCTAACAAAAATCAAGTTGAAAAATTCTAATGCTGTGAAGGCCCCCAACAGGTCATGTTAGCCAACCCCCTGCACTGTGCAGGCCTCTCTTCTAAACAACACTAGAAGGTTGCGGCTGCACCCCAGGGAAGTGTCCTAAACATCTTTCCTTGGTAACCAAACTTGCCATCTCTAAATCCTCCCGAGGGTGTATGCAGGGTATGTGTGAGCATGTTTGAGGGCCTTGCGTATCTACGTTAGAGTTCCATGGACACTGAGCACCGAGACCGTGCAGAAAAATAAGCTTGAGGTAGAGGGACTGGGGTGCCTTGGGGGTTGGGTATTCATCTGATCACTGTGAAGCTTAGAGGCACTTTAGTGGAGGAGCTACATCTATTGAGCACCTACTATGATTGAATGATTGTGCTAATTGTTTAAAATTCATGATCTCACTTAATCCGTACAGCAGTCCATTTTAGTATTCCCATTTTACAGATGAAAGCTGCAGGGCTCAGAGAGGCTACAGATCTTGAGTAAGATTGCTCAGCTGACAAATGGCCGAACCATGACTCGGGTCTTTGTATGGCTGAATCCAGAGGCTTAGCTCTCACCTGTTCCACCAGAAGTTGCAAATCAGGCCAAATACTAAAGTTCCCAGATCCAATTTGTTTGGTCTACACAGTGTTTTGTTTTGTTTTAACCTCTTAAAATTTAGATGCCAACATTTGAAAATGGAGCTGTTTAATATAAAAAATCTCAATTCAAACTTCTCTTTAAAAATCAGGAGAATGGGGCCGTCTAGGTCCACACCCTCCCATGCCAACCATCAACTTAAACTGCTAATCAGCTGCTGCCTCGCAACAGAACATGTGACCTAGTTTGCCACAGTTCCCATCACTCCCTACAATCTATCCAGCACACTCTCTCATTTATGTTACCGGCCCAGCCCCACAGGTCTGCAGAGACCTGGGCCCTGGTCCTAGCGCTTGAACTCTGTGACCTTAAGTAAGTTATAACACTTGTCTGGGCTTCAGCTGTAACCTGGGATAGTGAACACTCTGAAATAACTTGCTAAGTGGCTTTTTGTGCCGTTTGGGAGAGAAACAACACGTTTCCAGCATATCCACATCTTGACCACCTGGCTGTGCGTGATGTACAGCCATGTAGGTGACACTAGGAGTGGTGGGTGTTATTCGCTCTTTGTCACCATCATTCTGCTGCACTGCATGTCTGATGCTTCTGTGACAGGAGATGTTTGGGGGCAGGTAGGGCCTGGCAGCACTGGTGCTGGCATGATGCCCATTCCCAACACTGCTCAGAGTTCGACTTCCATGTGCCTTGGCTCATCTCTTCTGAGAAGCCTGATCGAGATTTCAACATCCGAGTGTCCTGTTCTGACCCCATTTTTGCTCTAGAGTGTACAAGAGAAAATCTACAGCCGAGCTAAGAATGTTCTCTTTCCTGTTACACACGCACACACACACCTCTGAGTGAGAAATAGCCATGCTTTAGAAGTCTGCACTTCTATCTAGAGTCTTACTCGAGTTCCTGGGATCAGAGGCTTTAGAGTCTCTTTAGAGACACGGGTGGACTAGTACAGATGGAAATGTGTAGATCATCTAGTCCAACAATAGCAGATACGTTTCACTTCATTTGCTAATTCCAGTCAACTGGTAGAGGGTTGAAAAGGCTTCTGAAGCTACATATGAGCATGGAATGATCGATGCTGAGATCTATCAGCGATGTCTACCGTGGACTTGACAAAGGCTTGTAGCAGGACTTACGCCAGCAATTATACCAACACGAAAACTGGGGAACCGAGGTGACTTGCCCCAAGTCACTGAGCAAGGCAAGGAAGAGTCCGATCCGGAAGCAGGGTCTCTCTTCACCTTGAGGCCACTGTTCATTCCACTGTATTAGCTCAGCGAAGACAATTGAGACTGGGCGGGGAAATGAGAAACAGGACTCTGACCAGTGAGTCCTGGCTCCCCCGGAAGCCTGGCTGGGGTCGGGGCTGAGGAATTCAGTTCTGTGCCACTAGACCGAGCCCTGCCAGCCTGGGCCTGATGCCTTCTGCTCTACTTCTCAGAGTCCCTTTGCTCCTGCCCCACTTTCCTGTCTCACTTTCCTCGGGCTCAGAGTGTGCACGTTGGAGCATGGGGCCTCCGGGGATCCTGGGTCCTACATGTCCTCTTTTGGCAGAGCCTTCAACAAGCTCCCAGCCCCCTCCATTCTGGAAGAGAAGTCCTAGGACAGGCGCTCATAACCTACTGCTGCCATGGACTCCTCTGGCAATCTGTGAAGCCGGAAGGACCCCTTTTCAGAATGTTTTTAAATGCACAAAAGAAAATACATAGGGCTGTAAAGAAAACCAATCCTATCAAAATATGGTTATCAAGATATTTTCAAAATTGTATGGCATAATAATAATATGCCATACTTTTTAAAAAAGTACTTTTTAAAAAAGATTTTATTTATTTATTTGAGATAAAGTGAGAGAGAGAGAGTGCAAGCAGGGGCAGAGGGAGAGGGAGAAGCAGACTTCCCGACGAGCAGGGAGCCCGATGCGGGGCTCGATCCCAGGACCCTGGGATCAGGACCTGAGCCGAAGGCAGACGCTTAACCAACTGAGCCACCCAGGTGCCCCAATAATATGTACTTCTTTATTAATAACTTAAAAATGAGATCTGGCAGCAGATATAATAACTATTGTCATTTTAAAATAATGAGCATAAATGATATTTTGAAAGATCTTTGACAACTATAATGTGATACAGAAATATCTGAGTTCTCCTAGTGACTCAGTCACAGGAACTGTCAGTATTACTGTGGTCACTGCCAACATTTATAATGGAACAAAGTATTTAACTTGAGTTAGAGGTTAGTGAAAATAAAGATGGAATTTTTTCCTTCCAAGTTCA